TTCAATTTGGTAACATTTGAGTTAATAGACCAACACGACGTTGATATTAGTTTTGAAACGAGAAAATTAACAGCAACGGACAGATGGGAAATGACATTTCGCCGAACCAAATGTGGAACACCAGCATTTAACTGAACGCCATTTTGAAAGGGCGGATGCCAAAATATTTTTATGTTTTGGTAACACAAGCTTAATAATTAAAAAAATGTTTTGCTTTCTAAGCAGTCTGTTTATTAGAGATCGGAGCACAGCTTATTTTAAAACTTAATAGAACATTGTGCTTTAATTCTTCAAAGGTATTACTTAGTCAAAGAGTTTGGTAACTAAACCAGACTTATTTAAGTAGGTCTATAGAAGGATATATTAACGGTAACATAATAAATAAATAATAAACAGTACTATTTTTCTTCTTTTTTTTTCCTAACATTTATAATACTGGCTCTTAAACTAGGTAAACCTGTATTTTAAGAGACAGTGTCTAGCTTATAGATTAGCAGATTTTATTTTAATTTTAACTTAATGATACTTAATATATTTTATTACACAACACACAAAAAGCCGATGCATGCGAAAGTGTATACGAGCAATATGCAAACTAAACGTAACGGATAGTTGTCAGTCATACTTCCGAAAGCTGAAAATTTTAACCCTGCCATGTCTATAGATATATATTCGAAATTGCTGTTTTTGTTAAAAGTAATATTCAGATGTTTGATAACCTTACTAGTAATAGATATAGAGGCAAAATTAGAAGTATGCCTAGTAAATCTGCCTTAATGAATAAGAGTGTGTTTTGCATGTTATCCAAAATATACAACAAATTGCCTCGTTGTATTTCAGAAATTGAGAACCTCAACATGTTTAAATTGAAATTAAAAGAATTTCTTAATGACAAAGTGTACTATAGTGTCAAAGATTATCTTGAGGGGAATCCTTATGGTCAATAATTAAAAATTAACTTTATTTATTTGACATTGCTTGTGTGACATTTATAATTGACATTTACCTTTTTACATTATATATATTTAATTTGACATTAATTTTTTGACTTCATTGGTATCAATAGTTCTAGCTTCTTTGACATTAATGTATTGTAACAACGATTAAAAATTCAGTTCAATAAACCTAATTTTATTATATAATTATTTTTACAACATATCTTGCATGCCAAGTGAAGGCAAAATATGGAGAAACTAAACTTTGTTAACATCTGTATATTATGTACCCATGTTTGCAAATGATTAAATGAATATGAATATGAATATGATGCCGACGCAACCGAGTACCTGATGGTAGGCAATTGTCGAAGCAAACACCAGGGATTTCTGGACTTTAGCACATTTAGAAATTAGATTATTATGGATATGAAAGTTCTCGACATCGTCGTAGGTATTTTTTATCTACATTACGGAACAAATGCATAGGACAGTATCTGCTCAACATCATCAGCAGCAGGTAGACGTCCACTGCTGAAGAAAGGCCTCCCCTTAGTCCTGCACGTCGAACGAAAACTTGCCACACGTACCTATCCTGATATTGATTCCTCGCGACTCTGACGATGACGGTCGTAGGTAAGTAACGGGAACTTATCCACGCTATGTTTTCCAGTCCGTAGTCGCTAGCTCCACTCAATTACTTTCCAAGCCCATTGGCCGTCGAATTTGAGCGACGTGACCTATACCTACCTATTGCCACTCCAGCATGCAGATTTTACATTATAATATTATACAGGGTGTCCGGTAAATAATAGATAACCTTAAAATGCCTTTTAGTATATCCTTTGGCCATTCAGAAAAAACAACGAAAAGGAAAGTATCATTGGTAGTACCTAAATTATTATGTCTTGAAATAAAAGAACTGGGGCTAGAGGTAATACAAAATGATCCTTTAATATTTACGTTCATTACATTATTGCATAACCACGATGATTAAACATGCTTTAAAAATATTTTTTGCACGATTTGTCTATAATAAATTACTTAATTTGCAAGTTTTTTATAAAATATTTTTTTTCGTTTTTTTTTGTATATTTTCTGAAGAATTGGGCCTCCGGTAACCTCACTCACACGGCAAAACACAACGTGTTGTTTCACGCAGGTTTTCTGTGAGGCCGTGGTATCACTCCGATCGAGCTGACCCATTCGTGCCGAAGCTCTCCCACGCTTAAATGTTAGTTGATTAGGCTCAGAAACTACTTGATGGTTTTGATTTTTTTTTTGTACATTTGGTATAATAGCCCCGGTGAAGGCAGGCGTAAAAACTACGCAAATGAAACCGTGGGGGCACAGGTAGTGTGTTTTAATAGACCTACTTTTCTGCGTCAACCCTAATTAAGTTAAGTGCAATGTGGGAGGCAGAAGATGATCTTTGAGGGTCATTGTCACGTGAAATTTACATAAACCTCCCGTCCTATATTTTCCTCCCTACAAACTGAACCATTACCTTAAAAACTTGAAGTTAGGTAGATACTTCACAGAAAACCGCACGAAACAACTGCAGTGTCATTTCCCCAGGTAGATAAATAAGATTACCGAAGTCCCAATCCTTTTTTCCCTCCCTTCATATCTCCGAAACCCCAAAATCACCCGTAACTCCACTTGCGGGTATCTAAGAGCAACGATCAATTTTAATTTTCTTACAGAGAGAGACTGTCTTAATTTCTTTTACAATGAGATTTGTACCTATACAACCTTCCAACGAAAAAATAAGGAAGTAGGTTTTATTTATTTTGTATTTTTATTCCTCAGTTTTATTTTCGCCGCTGTAAAAGCACAAAATGGCATTATTTGGCACTCATATTAATGAATTATTAATGTTATGTAAGTTAAGTATACCTACACAAAGATGGAATGGAAATAATTTTCGGGTAGCGTAAACGGAAATAAGTGGGGGGAGGGGGTGGTTAATAACTTCTAATACAAAAGGGACGCGTGGATAAATACAGGGTGGAAATAAGTCAGCGAATGGGTGGAGAGTCAATGTTTATACTTATAGTAACTTCCTCGTCGTCGTTCATATTCTTGTTTTAGGTTTAGGTACGCTTAAGTTTTAATAAATATGTAGGTATAATTTTTTTACAGCTTTTTTGGGTAAAGGACCACACTGCTCAACAAGATTGCAACTAGCCAGACCAAAAAACAAATAATAGGGGCGCCACGAGTTTGTTGCTGACCTTTTAGGGATTAAGGATTTGATAAATTATGCAGATAAGCTTTATTGCCTAGTGACTGTTGAGCTACGTGCAAGCCTCGTTTTATTAAAGGCTAGAAAGACGATGTTTGATTTATGATGCGAATGATTGAACTCTGAGAATTGCCTAAATTGTGGTCTCCACTCTTTAACAGGTCTACTCCAAGGGTCATCGTTAATTGCCACCAGGGTGCATAAACTTAGTCATGTTTCGGCACGAATAGGCTAGCTCGGCGTAAGTAGTAGACACCAAGGCGCAAAAGCTGGTGTGAAACAACGCGTTATGTTTCATCGTGTGAGTGAGGTTACTGGATGCCCAATCCTTTCCCCATTCTCAAATCTAAAACTATGATAAAAAGTCAGTAACACACTTGTAAGTGCAACTAAGAAGGTACTCTGGTGTTGCAGCAGTCCACGCGCGGCGTTGATTGCCTGCCACATTGTGATCCGTCGTACCTACGTACCTACGCTCTAAGCTCATACAAGCTTACAACTCCATTGGTGTGAATGTAGTTAATGGCATAGAATTAATTTCACCTTGGAGTCGCAGTCAGCGGTAAGACCTGCTTTGAGGAATGGCTAGAGACGCCAGGGCGTCCTCACCTTCCGCCTGGCGCAGACATTATAGTTTCAGGAGTTACTCGTTTCGGATCCAGAGTGAGGATTAGCCCGAGTGTCGTCACTGTGAGCACCACTCGGAATACACAGGGGAACATACGGTGGCGGTTTGCTTAGGCTGATCATCGTCGTTACCTCTATGGCATATTTTAATTAGCTACCTATGACTGTTCAGTGGTTATTAAGTGAAATGGTAACAAGTCCTAACTTAAACCTGCATGCTTAGTACCTACGGATGAAACCGATAAATAGTCTGGAAGAAGAATGCCACTCAAGGGGTCATCAGATCACCAGAACAAAGTTCTTAGGTTGTAGAAATCTGACAACCTCTCTTGCGCACTCAGGGCCAAAGTAGGTAGCCATATCTCAGAAAAAATCGGTTGGTTCATCATGAATTTAAAAAAAGACCCTTAAACGCACCAAAAAAACATTGTTGGTATTTATTACAATAAGTAAGTAACCTACGATATTTCAACAAAGTATTTTTATTTTATAACTAGCGACCCACTCTCGCCGGATGCAATGCTGTTTGCCAAACTTCACTATTTAATGAATGTTACAAGACACTATAAACATTCCTCTTCCAAAAAAACGCTTTATACATATGTACATAATAACATTTTAAGATTATGATATGATACTGTGTTTTACAACACAGATTATATTAATAAAAATGACATCCTTATTTATGTATTACATTTATTATTTAAGTAATACAAGTATTCATAGGCAAAACGATTTACATAATTTTTATAAAATATTTATCGGTAAAACTATAACATAATAAACATAAATATCAATCTTTTTTGTGCAAATTGTTAGTTCTTCTACACATAGGAAAAATTATACAAGTTACGACATAACTTGTGGAACTTAAGGCAGATGTAGATTGCTCATGATTTTACAGTAATTTTTATCTAAGACAAGTATAAATATGATAACAAAGATTGAGCATAATAGAGAAACGATACAAATAAATATAGACTTTAAGATAACCAGCTCAATGTTGATTATGGATCAGTCAACCCTAACAGAAGTTATTGTAAAGTCTTTAAACTATTTACAAAATCATTCATATGGACATTTCACAATCGATATTACATTTTAAACTTAATTCCTTCATCAATAACATTGAAATTCATTTAACAGAAAAGTTCTGATTTATTTTGTTAATAAATCAGAACTTATAAGGTAATATCAGAGTCTAGCATTCAATCGCCAAGAACAGCCATAGCCATTTCTTTAGATATACTATCGGACATACTGTTACGTTTTTCAATCTCCTGATCATCATTTGACCACCAACTTTCATCATCATCCTGAATGAAACACAGGAACAAATCATCTTCGTAAGTTGGAAAATAGTATTCTGGTTGGTCCCACTTTTCCTTACACAATTCCCAGTGTTTAGTTTCTTTCAAATGCTTCTCCAAGTTCTTCGCATCATCGAACTTTGTATCACAAGACAAGCATTGCTTTAAATGTATTTGCCGACGTATGTAGTTCACTATTTTGACTTTGTGATAGAAATCCATTCCCTCCGTAACTTTCATGAAGGAAAATTCATGTTGTTTCTCCATGTGGTTTAATATTTTATCGTATTCTTTCTCAGTATGTTCGCATAAGAGGCAGGTTATGAGCGGACCATTTTCTTCAGTCCAATCTGACCACTCCGGATCACTGTCTACATTAGAATCATTTTCGAAATCCACTGTTTTCCTAACATTATGATTTTTATTTAATCTATAATGCTGTTTACTTTGCTGTTTATCACCTACATAATTGACTAAAAAGAATTTGTCATATTCCTTATTTTCTGGATTAATTCTCTTGTGCCCTTTTTTACGCATATGTTCTTTAAGTATAGTGCGGTCTTTGAAATTACCTTCGCAGAATATACATTGTAATTTTTCTAATTTAGTTGCTATTGTGTTTACTAATTCATCTATAAATATTAAATTGTCTGGTTTAGCAATGTGAAAATTGTGTTTCTCATATAAATGGTTAAGGTAATTTGCTCTAGTTGTTGTTGATATGTTACGGCAAAACAGGCATTCTCGTACATAGTTTTTATCTTCCCGTTCAAATTGATGTCTTTCTAGTAATTTTTCTAGCCTTGTCTGCTGCAGGTTTGTGCGGAGTTCCTTATCTTCAGGTAGAACATCACTAAGTAAATAATATTCTTCATTTTTGGATTTTGTACCATCTGGCTTGTTGTCAAGCAACATTGTAGTGCAGAAGTATGGCAGGTTCTGATCTGGAATGTGAAACAATTACTATCAATAACAAGTAATTTAGATATTTAATTATATTCCAGTGAAACACTCATTGACCAATCTTAAGCTAATTCTTTGCTTTGTGAAAGGAAATACATAGTGAGTTGTAAGTGTTATAAGTAGTAAGTAGTAGTTAGTGTGTATAAATTCTTTATTGATAGAATGAACTAACATCTAAGATACAGGCAGGGCATAGTTTAGATGTTAGTATTATATACAATATATATATATAGGTATATATTAATCTATTGACAATTCAGTTAATGACTCAGAGTAGTGTATTATTTTTGGTTACAATACATACTTTCATCCATCTTTTTATTGTAAAAGCAAAGTTAATTTAAAAAAAAAATGCCATAAGCATTTTTTTTTAAATTAACTCTCATAATCTTGTTACTGAGATGGCTTATTATTGTTATCTATATAAAAATATATGTATAAATAATAGATATACTTTACTTTCCATTTTAAATATTTAATGTGATTTCTGTAGAAAACAAAAATGTTTAATGTGTTTCTTACAAGAACACATTGTAAAAATTGAGACATAGCTTTATTTGGACTAAAAGAGCGCTCACATCAGCTTTAACCTGTATTATTTAGTCTGTGCAGACATTTGATAGTACCAAAGAGGTTCACAAACAAACAACTAACCTTTAAATCGAAGTCGCCAGTACCGCAAGTATTCTTTCAAATCTGCGATTTGGTTGACATCAGCTATAACTAGACGGTGCTTCATAAACAAATGGGTAAGCAGATCCTTCTCATTTGATGGCAATAAGAAATTTTCTTCACACAAAACACATGAACACTCAGCCACATCTTCGCTTTTGAAAATAGAAGGGCATTCGGTTTTTTCGTGAAGGGTCAACGGACCAAAGAATTCTTTCTCTTTGACGGACATTTTTATGTTATTAACAACTACGATTTGTTGTTTCTATTAGTGATATTCAGTTTAAATTGCAAATCACAAATTCGGTCACAAAACAATGCAGTTTTAATGACAGTGGCAGATTTGGCAATGTTGACAGCTGTCATGTCAAAAATGAAGTTTTATGTTTGGATACCTACCTACGTTACAAGAACGATTGTTGCGTTCGGATTCATGTAAGTTAAATAGTGCTCAACAATAATTTTATTAAAGTTAGTACTTAGGTACTTTATTTATGGTTTTGTTTAAGATGACTTTTACTTGTCTACTACTTTACTATCTCAATTACCATAATCTTAGTTTCCAACAGAATTATTAAGTGACTTTAAGTTTTTTTGAGAGTAGAAGCAAATAACGTTTATCACCCAGTGTGAGGGCGCGAGGAAGAATTATACGCTTACTGATATAAACCCTTCAGTTCCTGCTCCTGCTCCAGACCGAGGCCGCAGTTCCTTATTGCACTTGCCCTACAGCCCTGGCCGAGAAGGTATTGTCTTCATATTATTATATCGACATTTACAATAACAAGTATAGGTACCTACGTATTTAAGGGGAAGACGGATTTCAGCCGTGGACATCTTTTGGCTAGCATTGGCGCTATTTTTTTAAGGGAAAGTCGGAGTTTAGCCGTGGTGACATTATTTCATACGTAGAACTGATTTGATAAAAAAAATTGATAGTAAAAAGGAAAATACTTGATTTTCTTATGTAATTTTTATTATTTATTTATAGATTATGCATTATACTTATTACAATCAACTCTATTTACATACAAAATAATAGGAACTTATAGATTTCATAATCAATTAAAATAACAGTGATACATTTATAAACGTAGCCTACTTAGAATTAAATTAAAAACTAAATGTTTACTTAATAACGCTAATAAAGCCGGGACAGATAGATTAAACCTATCTATTTAAAATGAAAATAGAACAATATTTTTTAAGTTTGTTCAATTTCTTAATTAATTAGGTAAGTACCTATGCATTACATATATGAAATTGGACTACAAACTATAAAAAAACACAAATAATTGCCATATAATTTGAAAATAATAGGTAGGTACTTTAGTTTCAGATACTACTTACAAATTTCAAAATTTTTGTCATGGCAGAAACTGATTTATTTACATTGAAAAAAATGACATAAATAGAAAAAATAGTCTAATCTAAACTATAAGAAAGGAAACAACTCAAACCATTTTTTACTCTACTAATACTGTTCCCAAAAATAGTTTTTGTTCTGCAAGAAGTATGTAAGGTAAGTAGATGTTTGAAAAAGAAATAGGAACATTTAGATTGGGTAAATGGGCAATAATTTAAATAAAATTTCTGTTTAGTTAATTTGAATTAAAAAAAAAAGATTTTAAAACAAAACAGATAACGATATCTCAAATTAATGAGGATTTTATTAGTCCAATCGTATTACCTGTTACACGTTTCAGCTTAGTGATTTAAAATCTATTAATTTAAATTGTATTATTGGTCAACAGATTAGAAAACTGCACCATCGTCCTTAGCCATACGAAAACCAAAAACAAACTTCGAAAATCGAATGACCGTCATCTGTTTTGGTAGATAAATAAGCTATTATGCCCACTACAAAAAAATCTATGGATTTTCGTTTGCTGAAGCATATTTTTTATACATTCCTTCTTGCTGAACAAAACATTAGATCTCTACATTTCAATCCTCCTTGCATGAAACCTTCGTGTCTACGTACAACGTATTGTATGGCACCGAATATCCTTTATTTGAAGCTATAACTTGGATCGCATACTTCCTTCCAGCTTTAAGGCCTCCAATTTTTTGCTTTATTACTCTGGATCTGAAAATGTTATTTTTTACATTAAAACATTGTATGAAAAGCAACAGAGCATTTTAATAGCAAATGTTGAATACTACGTAATTAAAAAAAAAACATATTTTTTAAATGCTTCCCTAGTACTATGTTCTATCGAAATTCAAATTAAAAAAAAATTAAAATGGTTATAAATATTCGACCTAAATAAAATATTTTCGTGTCTTAAAATTAAGTCAAATAAGGTTTTTCACATACGTTTTCTGTGTATGGTTAACACATTGGCCCTTGACTGCTTTCCTCGTCGACCAGCATCCGTATGCCTCTCCGCTTATCGTCTCTCTAGCGATGATGCAGTATCTAAAACATTTACAACACAAAATAGGTTATTATTTACCCTTTCATTTGCAAAACCTAAAGCTATAATTGCTCAATAGATGTCTTTTCTTTTCTTCTCTTTATTTCTTTGGAATAAGGTAGCAAACGAGTGACAGATCAGCTCAAACCAAAGCACCAGAGGCAATAAGTTATTTTTTTTAACATTGGAGGTTGCGAATCACAATAATGCATCGTGCCTGGATCAAAGCAGGACAATAAACAGGATGATTTTTTGTAGTAAGAGTCTGATAATCCCTGTCGTCTTGACCAGGGCGAAAAAATAATTTGTATAGAGAGAAAGAAAGAAAGAAAAAGTATTTATTCGCGTCTGGGACGCATACACTTACACACATACACTTTCTCCACTCAAAAAAGGCCAATGTTGTTATTATTTTAGTATTTTTACCTGATAACATCCGTAGCATTATGGGTGGCTGGTAAGAAAGCTACATCCACGGATCTGCAGGACCTGATGGGCCGAAGTTCTCTAACGTTGGCACCATCTTCAGTTAGTTCTGGAGTGTTCATACCCCATCGCGTTGTTGATGCTGTTAACTAGAAAAGATTGGAAAGGTTTTTTTTATTCTAAATGGTATTTCATGATTATTAATTATGAAATATATCCGATAGTTATTGGAAAAAATAAAAAAGCTCTTCTTTGACTGAGCTCTTTTTAGAAGTGCTGCATTATAATTCAATAAATGGTGATTATTTTTCATTTTAACATTGAGACCAAAACCATCCACGACTTGAATGAATCCAAATTCCTATTAAATCGAAAACCACTTACTTCAATGCCAACAGCGCCATCTCTGTCCCATTTACTGGGCACGACTTTGATGACGTATCTCATTCGAGCTTCCTCAGAACTAGAGTCAAACTGCACAGATCCTTCATCACTGGTCTCTTGTATTGAAGAAGTAGTTATTGGTGCTGGCACGAAGAACTTGGAGTGTGGGTCTGAATAGAAAAAAAAGGTTTTAATTTTAGTACCAATCTCCTGCCACTCCTTCTTATTTTTATTTTGAAGTAAAGGTAAAGGTTAAAGTTGCTTGCACCGCCTTGCTATGATGGTGTTAAAATTTTGAATAACCAGCTCCTAAACTTCACTTAAAAGTTGTAATACAAATCTATAACTTTCGGCTCACACATATATTAAATTTATTTATTTATTATTAGTTATTTATTATTGCTTAAAAGGTACATTTTATATTATAAAAAGTATAAAATGTCCAACAAAACTGTATACACAATTTGTCTGTTGGATCAGATTTCAAAACTATTGACTTACTATAGGTTCTATTAAGTTAATTTTACAATAATAATAAAATTAATATATTAGTATATATTAGTATTATATATGTTAAGTTATATAAGTAGTATTAGCAGGTTAATTAAATATGTTGTATAGCTTCACTCTAGGTCCTCTAAGAGGACAGACAGGCAGATTTATTTTTTTGTTTGACGTTTAAAAATGCCTGCTAGTCTTTTTGAAACAAATGATTTGACTTTTTTTAGGGGCTGACTATTTGGGTAGACTTATTTAGATTATTTACAAAGGTTTAAACAATATGAAGTAAATGCATTTTATGGAATTAACAAATTTAATTCTTACCAATATTCCTGACCATGTGAAGTCTTTTACCCCTGACTAGAACTTCGACATCGACTGCACCTCCACACGTAGATAGGGTCAACCAAAGACCACCTCCAGCACCGATTGTTGCCTGAAACATGAAATGATTATTCTGCAAATGTTATCCACACTAGATAGTGAACTATTCCATAATATTAGTACTGCGAAAATGCATTCACAGTATTAATCTTCGATCTTTGGATAGTAGCACTATGAATGTAGTCGGACAAAGTGACACAACTAATTTGGAATCAATATCAGCATCTACGTTTGTAGCGTTGTACTACTTAATTTACGTTGTAAGGGCAACTAAAGTGGGCTAAAATAAAGTGCCTTTTCTACCAAAATTGTGTACTTTATTTCGACCCCCTAGCTACCAAACTGTCGGCCAGCCTGACTACCAAGCTTAGCTAGTGCCGCATGTTCTAAAAACTAAACAAGATAAAAACGAACCCTGATAGTACTAATTTTGCTATTGCACTCAGATAGTAAATGGGTCTGCTGAGTGGGATCCTCAATTATGTAGATTACATAAATGTCCAAAGGTGAGGTACCTTAAAATAAAATACGCTTCTTCCTCTAATATCAGCTTTGGTTGGTATGTTTTCTCGAAGCCGCTTTGCCGTGGACGTGCGTGGACGTACGCTGCCCGTCGCTAACAAAGACCCAGAGCGACGGTCCTTGGCTACACCAAACACGCTAACGAAGTAAGTCTGGAAATTGAAGAATAATATCACATTTAGTTTACCATATAGATGAAGAAAAAAGCTTCTACGTCCATATTCAAAGTAAATAGGCTCTTAAAAAGTACGCATTATCATCAACGATTGTATAACTGTACTAGTTTATAGGATTTAAAAAAATAAACTATAGTTTTTTTGATCGGCAAACGAGCAGACGGATTACCTGATGGTAAGCAATCAGCGCCGCCCATGGACACTCGCAACGGAGGAGTTACGAGTGCGTTGCCGACCTTTTAGGGATTAGGGATTAGGAGATTTCGGGATTGAGGAGGGATTGGGGGAGGGGAAGGATTGGGTCTCCGGTAACCTCACTCACACGGCGAAACAACGCTGTGGTTGTTTCACGCCGGTTTTCTGTGAGGCCGTGGTATCACTCCGGTCGAGCTGACCCATTTGTGCCGAGGCATGGCTCTTCCGCACTTAAACTGTTTAGTGTTTAGTTTAGCTTTAATAGTTCTTTGTGTGCTTAGTTGGAATTGGGCTAATCATCTGAACTACTGGTTCTAATTGATTAAATCTTTTTGTATTAGATATTCCATTTAATGATCACAAAATCTTGCGAGACCAGCTAGCTTACTTCGTGGAAAGAAAAATAAATATCAGTATTTTTATATTCAATTCTAAGATTTATATTCAACAACTTCAAAGAACTATTAATGAGCTAAGTTAAGTTACAAAGATCATTATTATAAGCTGTCATTACCGTACTCGGATCCAGGTTTTCTATCAAATGATGCGTTCTTCCACCAACGCATGCAATAACTGGATCCTCATCTGTCACTTTAGTGCTGCGACCTGAAGTTATAGCACATAAAAAATAAATTATTTCTGGAAATTCAATAACAAAATAATAAGAAAGCCTTTTTAATCTATACTAATATTATAATAAAGAGGTATTTGTATGTTTGTAAGTATAGGGTAATCTTTGGAACCGCTGGTCGGATTTCCAAAATTCTTTCACTGATAGATAGCTACAATGTTCCTGAGTAGCGGGTTAAACAGCGCGAGAGTAGCTAGTTTATAATAAAAACGAATAGGTATCAGTAGGTATTAAGAAGAGCCTTATTTCAATAGTATGATAACTTTCGGAAAAATTAAGTAGGTTATGGAATAGTGTAACTTAACTGAAAAAAAAACTGGCATATTCATCACTCAAATATCCGAAAGCCCTTAACCCCAAAAGGCCGGCAAAGCACTGATATCGCCTTTGGTGTCCATGAACGGCACCTATTGCTAACCACCAGGTAAACCAACGGTTTGTTTGCCGGCCTATCACATAAAAATCCATATCTACTCAATGACGTCAATTTCAACATGAATTAATGAAAAGCAATTACCAAACTTCTTCCTTCTAAACACATTATTGAAATTTCCTTCATAGATGTTAAAAGAATCAGTATCCACATTGATCTTATTATCTACTTCAGATATTATATCAAAACGTGTTTCATTGTCTAATCGTTCATTTTGTTTGATACGATCCATTTCTTGATTCAGCCTGTTAGATCTGTTCTCCAAGCGACTCATTTTTATATCGTGGTGAGCAGCACAGAGCGAAGTGTAGTTCTTTCTGTGTGATGCCACTACGCAGTATGTTGTTTCTTGAGGGTCGATTGGGCTGGAAAGAATAATGATTTAATTTCACTTCAAGAATTAGTGGATCTATTGATTGTAATGAGTGTCGTGTGGAAGGGGCCAATGAGTACGTGACTTGGGCAGTATGGGCTTGCAATTGTAATTGGATTATGGCGATAGGTTTACTTCTATTTTTTGGGATTCAAAACAAAACTGATTAGAATTAAGTTGTTTTCAATGTTTACGTGCAGTTCTAACTATCCTGTTGGGGATTAAATGAAGTTATGTCCATACCTATAATGTTAATAAAAAACTAATTATTTAAGAGCGTTTAAGCTATAATACATATAAAGAAGCAGTGGCTTGTGTATAAAAATTGGTTTAGTAGTTTCTATAATTTTTGACTTCAAAATTTGTATAGAAAAGAGTCAAAAGAGTCTAACCACTTGATTAAAAGTAAACTTTACGAAGAAAAACATAAGAAATGCAGACATTGTAATAACCATACGTCCAATACCATAAGACCCGTCATTTTAATGAATTATTAACTATAAGAAAGACCAGGAAATACTGGAAATGTATAGGTTGTCTTGACACCGCCTGTTAACTTACAATCGAGGACGAGAAAACTAGCAACTTTCTTAGCAATCTTTATAAGGAGTCAATTATTGAAGTTAAATTGACGAGCTACGTTGAAAACATTGAAAATCCTATTGAATTACTTTAAAGGTAGGATGAGTTCTCAGATATCTGCTATACGTGTTGAACTGAATAAAAAGTTGTTTGGACTAATACAAGATGGCGATTATAAACGCATTGCTGTTTTAAATTAATCGTTTGATCATTTTGATTAATTAAGATATGGTTGATCTGGAATCATGGCTGAGTAGTCAAACTGGTAAGTAGGAAGATCTCAAGATCCTATGTATCAAGAAGTCGAATACAGTTTTTTTAACGACAGCTTAACAATACGAATACGTATAAAACAACATAGCTAAAGAAAATTAAAAATGTTACTGATCTTGTGGAGTTAATAGTAGTCTTAAATAAAACAAAAAGAAATTCTACAGATAAAAAGTAAAAAGTAAATGTAAGATAGCCAAGGAACATATTCAGACACAATTCAAAAAAAAGAAAACGTCAAACTGGAAATAATCATAAATTAGAAAAATATTAGAAACGACACAATACAATTACAAAAGTCTGTACACATTACGTTCAAGTAGATCAAAAAATGTTTGAATTATCACGAACTTCTGTGCCTCGAAGGAATTCATAGAAATAAAAACATAGAAACGAAGGCATGCCTGCATACTTAATCGAGTCAGGACTATGCATACCTGTAAGTGGTCTTAATTAATATGTTACTTGTCGTTACTTTAATTAAGTTCTTAATATATTACAAGGATGAATAAAGGAAATTAAAACACACCTTCAATTTGATTACTTAATCTTTATTTACTTTGTGTTTCGAGTTCCAATTAAAGGCCTTTTAAATTTAATCTAGTCCCTTCAAAAATGTCTTCTATAGACAGAACAGATTACTGAGAATCTTAGTAAATATAAGGAAAACTAGAGGTCCGAGATTACTTAGTCTTGGAATTTTGTATTGATCAGATACCATTTTAGTAGAAGTCTATCTTTGTTTTATTATTTTGATTAGCGAATTAAAGGTAGGTAGCCTAACTCAGAAGACCGCGGGATCAGCACAGACGATATAAAGAAAGTAAAACAGTTTGATGATGATAGGATATTAATAATAGCTGGTATAACAAGTGTCAAGAATCTCTGGAGAATAATTTTTAGAAATAATGATAAAAAAATATTTTTGGTCCGAACCTTAAAGAAAAAACAATACGTAAAGGAGGATTTTCAACAAAGTCTTTAAAGATAATCTTGATGCTGTTATAAGCTAACGAATTAATATCAATGTATAGCGGCGACACGACTTTGAACCCGGACGCGTTGAATTAGCTTTACAAATATACTGACTTACGAGTTTAAGAATGAGGACGAAACTGCCAGTTGTACGTCAATTTGATGGTGTCCTTATTACCAATTTGTAAATGGAATTCCTTTAATGCTTTATTAATTGTTTCATCGTTATTTTGTCTTAAATTAAGCTTAATGTATATTATAGGTCTTTACCTATGAAATTGCGGTTCGCATGAAAAAATTTAAACGATTTTTTTTATTTGAAATGCGATGAAAATGTAACACTAAGCAACAAACAAATGACTACTTTTGGAAAAAGAATCCCACGTTTTTAAAACAAAATTAATTAGCCTTACACCCGGTTTCCGAAAGGCCGATCAATGTTAAAAACAATTTAATCTCTTGTCAAGTCATCTGATTGGTTGACTGAAGTATCAACAACCAATCAGAAACCGGGCGTTAGCCTAACAAAAACTATTTTGATTTGAAATGGCCAGTACTGCAGAACGGCAATTTCATAGGTAAAGACCTATTATTATTATTAGTGGAAACAGAGTTAAGAGCAACTAATTAATGTAACAACGCTGTTCTCATAATGACAAAAAAATAAAAAAATGGTAAGAAAAGAAATGTGTGTGAATAGGTTGATTGTGTAATAAGAATCAAGTTCTCAATAAAAATCTTCTCAATATAACTTCAAATATAAAAACAATCAAAAACATAAACATAAAAAAGAATTCAAACTAAAATATCAATTCTAAGAAGAAATAGACAGCCCTGTTATTGTAGCCTTCAATAACGGGACATCAAGGCATCTCAAACAAGCACATGGGTTTATAGATCCTACACAATTAAAAGCTAAGGAATTTCAAGACACAATGTTGCTAAGCAACATCTATGATTGATAGACGACGTGGGACGATAAATAACATTTTGCTCATAAAAAACATCATCAGGAAATATTTGTAACTGTACAAAGACATCTTGGAATTTCTCGTGGAGTATTTTCATCTGAAGGGCAAGATAAGGAAATAAAAAAGGCCATTGATACGGAATGGGAAGTATTGATGAAAATGTTTGAGTGCAAAATCTTTACGATTGTTCAAATTAGGATAAGACTTAATGATAATTTTAAGATAGTTGAGGAACAGAAATAATTTGAAATGGTTATTACAATCTTTTGTAACCTATTAACCATTATTGTGTATTTAGGTACAAAACACCAAGAAATCGAATCGGAAAATCTGAATCGGAATAAGCTTTAAGTAAACCGATAAATCAAAGTCTTCATAAAAATTTCATTACCTGCAGCAAACAGCTACGGCTTTAAAAGGCATAGTGTTATAAATTCATTGGTTTTCTTGTAAGGAACATATGTATGTGAAACATTTATTTCTAACGGTGCGTCTGCGCAACTTGTTTTTATTGAGATATTTCTGAGTGTCAACGGACGAGGTGATTTAGGTGTGTGTTATATTGATTCTGATGTATGTTGCACTAAATGCACTCTGGATATGGTTTAGAAGTGTTAATTTTTAGGCGACTGATATTTTGGAATGTTTTTTAAAATTAGTTCCATGTTTATTTGGTAGACGCCCAATTCTTCAAAAACAACTATGAGATAATTAAGCAAATAGTTCTACACTGTGTCAATGAAAAGACCCTTCTTTGTGAGCGCAACGTAATATACTTAGGTCACAGAAGAAGAAACCTTGAGTTTGCCAACAAAGACAACAAATCAGTTAATTTATTTAAATTATTTATACACTTTATGCAAAGCAATGTACATCCAGACTTAATGCCTTAGGCATTGTCTAACAGTCGACCTTCAGGTGGTGGAGAGATGAGAGTGACAAGTGACAAAAGTATATATAACAAATTGTATGACCATATGATAGATGCATTACTTAGATACGTAAATATAATAAAAATATGCAATATCATTGTACAAATAAACATCAGGTAGGGTATTCTATAATACACGAATACTAAATATAACTATAACGCACAAATTTACATTGTCTATAAGAAAAACACAACAAACAATAATTTGCCAGTCGACAATATAACACATATCCACCTTCAACCTGTTCCGAGCGCCACAGTCCAAGATTAACCAATACTTAATTCACTTAACGGCCGCATAGTTACTTTATTACGAGTTACCGATAGCAGACTTGATAACACATGACTTGTGTAACGAGCTTGTAACTTACAAGGCTTGGTCACTTCGAAATTGTTGGGGTATTGTGACTGTTTCGATCTCAAGTTTGGTATTTTGATGCGCCTCTTTATTAGATGGTTATTCTTATTCAGATGGTATTTGAAAAAAAATAAGATTCTTCCAAACATACGTTTGAAAGAAAAGTAAAAAAAAAATTTTGTACTCATAAAATACAGTGATCGGATTGTTTGACAAAATTTAAACTAAAAAAAAAATATGTGAACATGTTTACTACAAGTTATCTATACTAATATTATAAAGAGGAAAAATTTGTAAGTTTGTATGTAGGGGGTAATCTTAGGAACCGCTGGTCAGATTTCAAAAATTCTTTCACTGATATGTAGCTACAATATTCCTGCGTGCTATAGACTATAAAACATCACACTACGATTAAATGTAGCCAAGCAGCGGGTAAAACCGCGCGATAGTACCTAGTAGTGTGTAGTGTTCTAAATTTTGGTGAAAAATATTCTGTTGTGTGTAAGATCTAATCTTAAGTTTCATTATACTTTCTTTCTAGACCAACAGTTTCGGGAAGTACTTCTTATAGCAGTGTCTTATAGTCCAAATGTCTCGAATTATTTCAGATCTCACCTGGGTTCCCAATTAGCAGCGAGCCTTCTGCGCGAACGCACCCTAAGCCGCATGCGCACATGTCTCGTGGCCTCACCGCGAACACTGACTACAGCAGCGCCACCTCGCGTTGTTGATAGCTAAAAGTAAATAGAATTATTTCAAAAAATGCGGTTTTTGATAATTATAGTGCATATTGGAAGATGTAGTTAATCAAAAAGAAAGTATTATCCATAGTTTTCTCCGCTGTGTTATTTCTTAACGCGATGGTTTACGCTTATTCTGATGTGGCCAAATAATGTCAATGATCCTATAATGATTTTTGTCCAGTTAAACTACAAAATTGTAGTTAATCGATATGTTCATCGGCTAGTACCTAATACGACAATGCTGAGCCCTACTTTTCCTGTATTATATTAAAAATGTTGAATGGCCTGTATACTTACAACCATGACATATTTGTCGTATTGTGATATGTTAACAGAAAATGTGCTCATTTCTCCACTCCCACTTTCTTTCTGAAGTATAAGTTGGCCTGAAAATAGAAAGATATGTTTTAGGTACTAGTAGGGGTTAACTTTTGCATATAATGGTTTTGCCTAATCTGGATTTGGTTGCCATAACCTAGAAGTCTTTCTGTACCTGTATCAAGATAAATCAATTCAGTAGGAGTTTTTTTGTACGTTAGCACCTATACATATAATAGACAAGCAAATTCGCTTATAAACCTTCAGTTTAAATGAGAATTTTGCCTCAAATATTGCCTTGTAAAATTGCGAAGTAATTTCTTTTAAAAATAAAATAAAAACATACCATTATTATTTCCAGCTTTCCCATAATATAATGCCCAGTGAAAATCTCTGGAACACGGGCTGATGGTAATGTACACTATAGTCTGGGATATGGATGAAGTGTTCAGCTCCAAGCTGGAACAAATCACAGTAACAATAATATGAAATATCTTCCTGTTTTAACTTTTTTCTGATATATAACACAATAACTTGTAAAAAAATAGTTAGTCGCGTAAGTTAAATGAGAATAGCTCGCTACTATTCTTGAGCAGCATGCGCGTCATGACGATTCACAACGGGACTCATGAATATGAGCCCCGTTGCAACTTGAAACTAGTAGATCTTTTCTGAGTAATTCACGTGAGAATATAGTTATATTCATTATTTGTCACTACGTCATATGTATACACGCATGACTTAAACAGACTCCGGAAGGACTGATTTTAATGGAACTTCTGTAAGTAAACTAAGCAATTTAGATTTTAACTCAGAAGCAATAAAAAGATGGCGCTAAATTCAATCTGAAATCAACTGCACCAGCTTTGAACCATTGAATATTCTTATTGAACATCTCACTATAGGCAACTTTGTATCCCACTACAAAGTTAATGCTACTGAAATCATCAAGTCTATGACTTTTTACACGCAAGTTAAATGAGAAAAGCTCGTGACTATTCTTGAGCAGCATGCGCGTCATGACGATTCACAACGGGACTCATGAATATGAGCCCTGTTGCTATTTGAAACTAGTAGAACTTTTCTCAGCCAATTCACGTGAGGAAGTAGTTATTCAATAAAACGTTTGTTGACTATAAAGTTTGTATGCAATGTTGCGTCGAGCAACGGTGCTTATAAATAAAAGTCCCTAGCGTGACTTGAAACTAGTCGAATCCTCAGCAATCAGATACACAAATCAATCATCAAACACATATGAAACATTATTAGAATCCCAGCTTATTTTTTCTTACGCTAAGTATTAGAGTTCACTGTTTCTAACTATAGATTATCTCAATGTTACAAATTACAAATTCGAAATATATATTTTTTTATTCGTTTGCATCAAAAGAGGTTTTAACTTTTTCAACATAGGTTGTCATGTTCGATACTTTATTTTGATTCTTTTTTCCACATTTTTATGGTAATGCTAAGCTAAGGTCTTCAGATAATATCTTAATAACGTTTCAATAATTGTAGGCATCTTGTAAGTGGCTTGATAACTGTGAATGGCGTAAAAATATAGTCATTACGTGTTAATTCATGGTACTAAGATAGCTCCGCACTTTTGTAGTGATACAAGCTAATGCATTGAAGGTTTTGTGGTTTGCATCTGCTGTCTAGACAAATTAGTTTTCTATTCTATCAGGTACCTGGTTGATTCTTTAAGAAATTATGGAACAAATGTCGTCTGTTTGTTATGGCTACTTAAACTTATCTTTGATAAATTATCAATTTTAAAACATTTTCTAAATCAAATTTAGTTTACCATGAAATTAAATGAAATTCGATATTTTATATTATAAGAATTTATCACAATAAAGCACAAAAAAATTAGCTTTCTCTATCTCTATATCCTTATGTATGCTTAAATCTTTAAAACTGCGCAACAGATATTGATGTGTTTCTTTTAACGGATAGAGTGATTAAAAAGGAGGATGATAATAAAATCGATTAAATAGTAGATACATTTTCATATAAACATTGGACCTTTGCGAGGCCGGGGTGGATCGCTAGTGTATTTATAAATAATTCTTCGATAACTCTTTTCTCTCTTAAATCTTAAAAGTATCAAATATCCTTCATCCATTCATACTAAAACATTAAAAACCAACAGAAAACAATTAACAGTAAAGCATTCGCCAAAAAACATAATTAGGTACCTTCTACTTTCCCCTTCACCCAACCTATAGACAGTTTGGTTGTCTATTGGCAACCATTCCACTGGAACTTTGGAGACAGGCCTGGTGACCAGGACTGTGGGTGAAGCAAGACCTGCTCCCGCTGCGTGGAGGACCAGCAGACTTGCTAGTCTCATTGTGAAGATGCTTAGTTTTCTGAAACAAAAAGGAGAAAATTTGAACGACGCATAGACTTGATGATTTCAGTAGCATAAACTTTGTAGTGGAATACAATGTTGCCTATTGTGTGTTTATTAATAAGAATTTAACTAGTCAATGGTTCAAAGCTGGTGCAGTTAATATCAGATTGAATTTAGCGCCATCTATTTATAGCTTCTGAATTAAAATCTAAATTGCTTAGTTTACTTACAAATTTTCCATTAAAATCAGTGCAGTCGTTTCGGAGTCTGTTTATGTTGTGCGTGTATACATATGACGTAGATACAAATAATGGCGTATTTAAAGATAATAAAATTTTATAGGCTTGGCCTTGAATGGGTCGTAGTTCCTAAGCAAAATCAACTCGCAAACTTCTTTTCTAAATTCGTGATACGACAAACAGAAACGGAACTTGTAAAATGTAATACGATGGAATTATTCAGGTCATAATAATATTGAAATCTATGTGCAAAAACATCCGGCCAGGAATAAAATATATTCACACGACCTTCGATATATTAATAATGTTTTCCAATAGAATCAGGACAAATAAAAAAAAATCGAGCGGCCTGTCAAAACTAGAAATCTTGAGCAACATTTCAAATCTAGAGCATAATTATATTCTACCTCATTTTGACACGGACCAAGAAAAACTGGCCACACACAACTTTATGAGATGCTAATTATCTTTAATCCATACAACATTTTTCGATTCATAAATAGAACACTGCTTAAAAAAGGTACTTGACAATAGCTTTATAACGGTAGATTCGAATAATGTTAATAGAAAATATCAATCAAAATGCCATCGAAATTTGTTTCGAACAAAGAAAATCCTAAAAGAAACCCCAAAAAGGTTTAAAATTAGATACCATGTCACTTGTTATAAATCGATTATTCAATGAGTGTACTCGATTATACAACAGTGATCGATTTAAATCGGTTCGTTTCGGCGTGGTTAGTGCAAGGAGGTCAGTGGTCTTGGCAATTATTTTTGACACGTGTATCGGAAACGTGGGTTGGTATCAATTTAAAAGAACTCTTATGTTAATGCAACATTGTATTAAGTCAAAATCAAAGCCATCGTACCTTATAATGGTAAAATAGCACAGTAAAAGTATAATTAGTTTCTTAAACTATTCAAACTCGTATGTGATGATAAGCTTGTGTCCTATTGCATGGGATTCACTAAATGACAGCCCAAAATACTACCAACCGTTTTATTCATCTATTATTTTCTACCATTGGGACAAGCCTTTACGTGGATGTTGTGAGTCAATTAAAAAATTACATTTATAAGAGATTAAGTAGCAGTGCTCTTTTGCAAACCAGATTCTTTCAGACAGCGTTCTCAGACTCTTGCTGGGGTTGCAGATAAGGGTCGTAGGACAATTATCGTAGCCCACTTATCAACTTGGATAGGGGTCGTCACCATTTTACTGAGAGTCGTTCAGTATTCATTGTATAATTTTATTTTAATTCATACTCCCTACTTCTGAGCAAACCTATCGGAATCGTTGCGTATTCGCCACGAATAACCTCACACTCTGCAGGTGCGTTTTTTTTTTGTTAAGGGAATATCATCAAATGGCTTCTGACACCTAGGGTGAGATGAGAGGTAGTGTCAGATCCTTACTGACTAAAAACCCCCGTTCCTTCTTCTGTTCTAAGCCGAGGCCGCGGTGCCTCATTGCGGTGCACGGTTGACTTACAGTTCCCACACTTACGGGTACCACCCCGTATTCTATCTTACGGCTCTCTGCATCTAAGCTTCTACTCCTTTGTCCAAACCCTCCACAATCAGCTTCGTAGACGTAGTTTTGTTGCTGTTTATCATTTCCATTTTCTTTTTCGCCTTCATCAACTACAAAGCTAACTTACAGTAAGTACCTACCTATTATTACAGTGAGTTCAGCAAAAAACATTTACTAGATCGAACCTTTTCATATGCAGTATTTCATAAAGTAAATACTAAATACTTAAGTTATCCCACAATTAATAAGTATACATTTATTAATGGAATTTTATTACTATTACAAGATAGAAAACAATTTTAACTCGACCTTGGTCCCGATACATCTCTCCTATATTTTTAACATAACGTTTTAAATGTTTTATAATGCTAATCTCTTTGGTCTTCCATTTATTCATTAGGAGATTTTCATTCATAAGTGACGTCACTTTGTTTTTTTACGACTAAACGAATTTTGTACTACCGATTTATTTTGTGAATGGGAGCTACTGTTCTTTTGATCGCTAGTTGACGCCACTATCGAATTAGAGTTTGACAAACAAAGTCTCTGTCACTCATTTACATGTTGTTGAAATCTATAGTTATTGAAAATATCAATTAAATCTCAACAACAATTTAAGAATAATAAACGCTCAAAATCTAAAATTAAATGATAAAGTTAGAATCATTATAACCATCACTGAAAACAGTCCCAAAATCACTGATCGAAGGCGGTGACCTCTCGCGACCGGCTTTAGTCGGTGCAAGAGGAACTGGGAAGCTGTCTCCTTCTCAGAAGCAGTGATGCTCTCAAAGAAGGAGGCGTCGCGAGCCAGGGAGCTATTCTCCTCACGCCCCAGCCACCGCATTTATTTACAAAAAATACTTGATAAAATACCCATTTAGTGTGGGAGAGCCATGCTTAAGCACAAATGGGTCGGCTCGATTGGAGATACCACGGCCTCACAGAAAACCGGCGTGAAACAACCACAGCGTTGTATTTCGCTTTGTGAGTGAGGTTACCGGAAGCCCAATCCTTCCCCTCCCCAAATCCCTACCCAATCCCTAAATCTCCCAAATCCCTAACCCCCAAAAAGGTCAGCAACGCACTCGTAACTCCTCTGTTGTTGCGGGTGACCATGGGCGGCGCTGATTGCTTACCATCAGATAATACGTCAGCTTTTTTGTTTGCCAACCTATTACATAAAAAAAATGTCATCTGATTGAGAGTACCAAAACCCCAATCCCCGATTCTCCCAATCCTCAAAACGCTGACAATGCAATCACAAATTCCTGTGTGTTGTAAGTGTCCATAGAACGCTGCTTTCCATCAAGTGATCCATCTGCTCGTTTGCCGATAAAAAAGCATAACAAAACATTAAAAAAACTACAATAAGGAATTCCAATTAACCAAGGCCACAGCGCAAAGACGTAGGTTTAATTAAACTTGCTCATACTGCTACACAATATATTGTAACTGGTAACCCCATATGCGTCGAAATAAAAACATTGCGATGCCCCTGTTTATCAATGTTTCGCCATAACCACTTAGAATATAATTCTACTAGCTTTTGGCCGCGACTTCGCTCGCGTGGAATAGTGACTTTCTGCTGAATTTTGGTATAAAAACTATCCTATGTCCTTTCTGGAGTTCCAAACTATGTCTGTACCAAATATCACAGAAATCGGTTCAGTAGTTTGGGCGTGAATAAAAGACAGACGGACAGACAGACAGAGTTACTTTCGCATTTATATGATATTAGTTTGGAAAATCGGTTCAGTAGTTTAAGCGTGAAGAAAAGACAGACAGACCGACAGACAGAGTTACTTTCACATTTATAATACTATAGTCAGGATTTTTCTTTAGGAATCTCTTTCTGGTTCTGCGTCATTTTTTTCTATTGTTGCGTAACATTCTTGAGTGTATGATTGAGCCTGTTTGTGTTGTATGGTTGGTACGTATGAAACCTACTTGTGGAATATATAACGTGTAAAAGATGGTTAAATAAAAGTCTGTCTTATTTCCATTGTTGATGTGTCATTATCGATTGCTATAAATTTGAATATGAGTATTTAATATTTTTTGAATTTGTTTTTTATTTGATATGTCGGCAAACGAGCAAACTAATTACCTAATGGAAAGCGAGCATCGCCGCCCATGGATACCCACCACAACCGCGGAGGATTACGAATGCGTTTCATACCTTTTGGGAATTAGGGATTTGAAGATTTTTTGATCTTTTTTCCCCTCCCCCAACTCCTAAATCACCCTAAACTCCAACAGGCAGCAACGCTATCGCGGTAACTCTGGCCTGGGGCGATTGATCTTAACACCAGGTAATCCGTGTGACGTTTGCCGTCCTGATCATCTGCTAGTGTTAACATAATACCGAAAAAACCTAACAAAACTAAACAAAACCTAGTACCGAAGAACAACAAATACCAATATACCTGCCTACATAAAGATAAGTATATATATATGACGGTTACGTACGTACGTACTAAAATCAGCTCATAAGAGAACCAAGTACCTCGTATTTTATAACAACAATTATTTCCTTACATAATTTAGCTAACGGTAGGGTCAATTCAGCGTTTATGAACCCTAGAATGACCATCTGTGACCACAAAGGCTCTTTGACTCGTAAATTTTAACTCCACTTTGTTTAATTGTTTAGCGGAATTTATTATTGAACGGTAATTTGATTTTAAGATTTTTAGAAAAAAAAAACCTTAATGATAAATAGAATTTTCAATTGTTTCTCTTTTTAAAAATTCTTTCCGTTTTTTTATCGTGAAAATCAGCTATTGCCTTCTAACTCCCCGTGTAATGCGAGATGAGAAAAATTGTTGCCTCACATAAGGATTTTCTCATTACGTCATGGGTCATGTAATGCATTTATAAACGTACCATTTCACATACACATCACACCCAGATCCGAAACAACAGGATTGTTGTTATTCCGTACAGGATTCGACCCGCGTTACTTTACGGGGCAACCGCTTGTCCAGCCAACGGCTTACAGGACAATGTTTAAAAAAATATCACAGTATAGCAAAGTAGGAAATGAAAAATAAATGTAATATTACCATATTAAGAGGTGTTTTATGTTTTTGATAATCTGTTATTCGTCTTATTGTGGGAAAGCTACGCTTCGGCACTAATAAGCTGTCTTTTTTATTAACGTAAATTTGTAAAACCTCAATTCATACAATTTAAAATTTTGAATTAGATCCATGATAGCGTATATAGATAAGTTCCGTG